ATAATTAAAATACTAAGTTTTTTACTTGAATGGAAATTGTGAATTGATGTGAATGTGAGAAAAAACAAAAAAACCAGTCGAGTGTGACTTATATTACGGGTCAATTATCACACGGGTTCCATGCCATGCAAATAGATGCAATGGACATACATATGATGTACAAAATTTCAACTGTCTAGGTACAAAGCGCCAGACGCTCGGGACTAACTTGCGCGTGGCGTAAACGGTTTCAAATTTATTTTGTACAAATTATTTGAAATAGAATAAAATAATGTGTCTGTAGCTCCAAACTGAGTATCAGGACACCGTTGCCGTGCCACAATTGAGTCCGAAAATGACGTGGCAAGTTGCAATATTCAGGATCTAACTACTAACTTAACAAACATAGAGCTATTTCTACATATCTGACTACATTTTTTATGTTTTAATATAACTAAACTGTTTATCACAATAGAATTTTTTAATTTTAGAAAAATATTGTAATCTTATTTTTTTATACATCGATGACCAAATTGCTACTTTTCTGCCGGGAATGATTCAAAAAATATCCGATATAATTATGATTTATATCAGTTATACTACCTATAAATTTTACATAATTATGTATGCAAATGCAACGGAGATGTCGATCAATCTAATTAGGTACTTATTAAAAAAACTTTAATAATTTAGTAATCCTAAAATGTATGTGAAAAAATAGTGATTTTAATAGTACCAATTAGGGGAGAGTGGGTAACAGCGGATCACGGGTCACAGCGGATTATTCGCTATAATTCTTACGTCTGATGCTTTACGCATACAAGCAAACGCGTGGCTACTGCTCGTCGATACCCCCCTCTCATGCGCCGGCACAGTGTTTTATGGAACCAAAAAAATTTACATGTTCAGGTTTTTACATAAATAGATTATTTATACCCTAAAAAAGGCATGAGTTCAATTCCCAGAAGTCTAACTCAAATACTTTTTGAGAAAAAAAATCATGAACTTATCGTGACCTTTGACCTATGAAATCTAGAATATTTTTTTATAAAGTGAATATTAACAATATATTTTTTTAATAAATATGTGTCAATCGGGCATAATCAGAGGCGTATAAACGCGTTTCTTTAGCTTAAAAAAATGCATTGGTTTGGGCGCAGATTTTTTTTTTGTATTTCGTATTTATTGATTTTTCTCCCTAAAAACTAAAAAGTGGAACCTAGAACTTCGATAGAAATAAACCTACGGATGTGTTCTATCATACATAAATAAGCCACGTGTCACTTTTGCGGCGATTAGAAGATATTCATTTTTAAATTTTTATGCTAGGGTTGACACCGAACCTGACCTCGAACGAAAATTTTTAAAATATAAATTTGTGTATTAGTTTTGAACGAGTTTACAATAATGTAGATTTTAGGAACTTACTACAGTACCTTTAACATATTTTTATGGGCTCCAAGCTCTATTTGCAAAAAAGGAACGCTTATGGTGATTCCCAGTCAAGGCGGAAGTCATTATAATGAATATCGATTTTCGTTTTCGGGTCTGAGTATTAACTATTAAATATTTGTTTTGTGTGTGTGTTTTGGAGACCCAATTAGACATAAGTTCATGCCTGCTTACCTCTACGTTTTTTTTTGTAACAATAATAGTTACACCTAGGGACACGATATCGAATAGAAAGTATCGATACTGTACTCATGAGTAGTATCGGTAAAAAAGTATCATACTCGTAAAAGTATCGAAACAAAAGTATCGATACTTCAAAGTATCGAGTACATTTCATAGGGTCTTATCGGAGCCTCTGTGGCCTGATGAGCAACCCCCCCCCCCCCCGGTGTTAAAATTGAAAGAAAAACAATCGAATTTTATTATAGTACGTATAACCAAAAACAAAAAAAGGACATGTAAATTCACAAATTGCTATATTATATAATGAAAAGTAGTGTTGAGTAGGACTTACAAGAGGCGGTACATTTGTCCCGGACATGACGTCAAAATGTAAGAGCGGCTCAAAATTTTAAAATGTACTACTTCACATTAAATGTCGCGATAGTCGCGTCTCTTTACTCACTCACTCTTCGTAAGTCTGACTGAGAGAGAGCGAGGCATGACATTTCATTTAAGTCCTTTACGCACTATCCATCTGTATCTCTATCTCTTTTACGTGTGTAGCGCTGTCCTACATGCTGGATCCAGCAAGATTGATAGTGCGTAGAGGAGGTGCTACTCGTGCACACAAACGTAATGTCGAGCTTCTGTACGCCTCAATGTCATATTTGTACTCGTCACTTCAAATGTATTGCCGAGCTTCAGTACGCCTCGCCTCATTTGAAGTGGGACATTGTACTGGCTCAGTACAAAAAAGAGGCTACTCTTACAAACTCTTTTTCAAGTCGTGTCCTACCCAACACTAATGAAAAGAAAATAGTTGGATTTCTGACACTAAAAAAGTGTTCATTAATATTATTTTTTTCAGGTGGTTTCAAATAAGTATACACAGCACAGACAGAATAATAGTGTTACACTTGAATAAATCAAATACAGTCAAGCGAAAAGCACAATAAACGGCGAATCAATCACAGTTCCTAACAATATGGTCGCTAAATAAATAACTATGAAACAAAACAAAGCGCAAAATAAACAGAGTCACAGATTGGAAAGAATTTGAATATGTCAGTTACTGACTTTATAACAACGCAATGGGTCATTTGACAGTATTAAAAATAAAGTACCAAAATAACGAAAAAGATATTAGTTTTCTTATCTATTGTCACGTGATCCAAAACGCTTCGGATTGGCGGAGCCTAAAATGACGTCACACGCAAGTAAACTTCCCGTCAAAGTGACATTACATTGTATCGTTTGACGTTTTAATAACAGTCGTGTGACGTCACACACTAGTAAGACGCCATATTATCCAGAGAAACGTTTTCGCGGCAACTTGAAAATGGAGTTTTTGATTTGGTTATTTTTACTGAAATACACAACAGAATGATGAATATCCACTTTTTATGGACTCCATAAACATTAGACAATAACGTGAGATCGTTGCATAAAACTTGTCAAATACCCTATGGAACGTTTTAGAAGGTTTGCTATGATTTGACAAGATGGCGTTGCCATCAGTATGAGGCGCTTATCCAAATTTTTAAAGGTATCGATACTTGCCAAAAAGTACTCATTTAGTAAAAGTATCGAATACAAAGTATCGAGTACAAAAGTATCGGTATCGAAAGGAAAAGTACTCGATACCACAAAGTATCGATACTTTTTTCGTGTCCCTAGTTACACCTACTAACTGATTTATGCCCAAGATTTGTTTTTATTTTCTGATCGAATGCCTGAATGATTCTGAATGAATTTTGAAATTTTTTTCAAGCAACATAGTTCATTTTTTCGTTACCGTTTAGCGTGTAAGGTACAAAGTTAAAATGTGGTCGAACAAACATAAAGTATTCCTACATTATCACATCTACATTAGGTAGGTACCTAGTATATGTAAGTATATTGTATTCGTCTACAAGTGTTGTTAATTTATTCAATTGATTGACGGTATTAATTAACAAACAAAAAATTTAACATTTTCATTTAACTCATAGTTGACCTTTGTGACAATCCTAGATCATGAAAGTTGACCTTTATCTAAATTCTGTCATAACTTCTTAAAACCGCAAAAGTGAAACCTGATTTTTTTATGGGTGATAGAACTTGGCTTATAGAACCTTTCTGTACTAAATCCAGGTTCCACTTTTGCCGATATTTGGAGAAAAAAATAAAAATCGAAATTTAAAAAAAAAATATTTCTCGGAAAATAGGACACTTATAAATAAAATAAAATTGCAAAATTATGCCTTCAATAATTCCTTATCAAGTGGCAAATATCTCATGTACAGATATGGAACCGTCTTTTGAGGAAATTAAATTGTTAATTTTTTAATGCTCAAATTTCAAAAACTTTGCTACTTCATATCTTTTTTTTTAATGGAAATAGTGATCTGAGAATTGAACTCTTGCCTTTATTAGGGTATAAATAATTGATTTATGCAAAAATCTTAAGGTGTAAATTTTTTTGGTTCCATAAAACACCGGTGGCCGGTCGGTCGTCGCGCTCGCCGAGCGGAATCACGTGCTGTCACACGCAGACCAATAGGTAAGTACGAAAGTATTTTTTTACGTAATTTAAAAATTTGTCGTATTCCCAACCCTTTAATAAATATAAATGATAGTCGTATGTTTTGAACTTGTTATTTGATAAATCCGTTGTGGGTAATGTAATTTTGGCTTGGGTATAAGTAGTTATTTTTTTATTTTTATTTTTTTGTGTCGTACCGGCCTATGGGTCACAGTGAATAATTTTCATTTGGGTCACAGCGGACTGTAGCTGCACGGTAGCGCTGCATGATATTAAGATGATTTTACCAAAACCTACGTTTTCTGGGACTACAAAGAGGAAGCAAGGCATGTACAACTTTAACGTTGATCTTTCTAACATTAATTTAAGCTAATCTAATTTAATTTGACCTCAAACCGAATCTCAGACAATTTTGAGATATCAGAAAATGAAAATATTTGTTTTTATAGTTTATTTTTTGTTAACGATTACTGAAAAAGTAATAATTTTTATTTTTAATAGTTGATATATCAACAATATTCCTATTAAAGTTTATATTAATGATTACTCGAGGAGTAAATATATTTATGTTTAATCGTTGAGTTAGCATTTAACAAAATTCTTATTAAAATGTTTGTTAATGATTACTGAAGAAGTAAATATGTTTATTTGAATAGAGAAGAGAACTTTGTGGAAATGAAAGGAGAAGAACTGTTGTTTATTTAAACAAAATGTTGATTAGTTTAGGTCTCTTTATACCAGCATAGTTTGAAAGACTTGTTAATTTTTGATAAGACTGTGATAGAAGGCTGTCTTAGAATATAAATAAATAAATAATTATGAAGAAAATTGGTATTCTATTGAACTTTTTTTTAAAAGATCCAGTGTACCCCAAGCGATTCCCATCCACGGGTCACAGTGGATTATTTCCCATTTTTTAAAAGACTTGTTATAACTTGTAAGTTTATGCCGTTTTTAGCAATAATTGCACCTGGTTTTGTAGATTAGGGACATATCTTGTGGTTAATTATCATAGATTAATTATTTACTCATAAACTTGGGATTTGTGGAGCTTGAAAAAAAAAGTGATCCATTGTTATCTACTCTCCCTATTTCTTCAGTTTTCAATAATTTATCTAAATAAGTATTTCAAATTCACTCGGATAAACATCAATACAAATATAGGGGTCTTTGGTCACCGGTATTTTAAGGCACAAAATATTTTTTAGCTCAGACGACCAGCTCTGGCATCGGTAATTACTCCCCACAACTCAATTATAAATTCATCAGTAAATCCAAATTCCTGGAGGTCACTGTTATCAATGGCTTCGGCTAGTTGCATTGAGTTTGTCTTCCCTTCTGATATCTCCCACATTTGTGAAGCTAATTCCGTATCATTAATACCCATAAAGGATTCTAGGAGGCCATTTATTTTCTCTATGCCAGCCTTAGATTTCTCGTCGTGCTGAAAAAAAAATAACAAGGAGTAAGAAAAATCGTTCTGTACTAATATTCTATTTTGGGCAATATCATGAGAAAAATAATATCGTAATGTTTTTTAAACACTTTGCACACGGAGCAGTGTAAGATTTTGCATAGGTAATTAAAGTTTATATGGAGAAGAAGCAGAAAGTTAATATTTTTATATGTTTGTGATAATAATAATGCATCAAAAATACATTATTAAAAAAACATAACGCACAAAATGCAATGACTCTCCAACAGAAGAATAGAAAAAGTCGAATTTCTGCTAACAGCCGACCACTATAAGTGTTACTAAATACTTATAATATATCTTACTACTTTAAGTTGTTGTAAATTTGAATATGAAGTTATAATGATCTTGATGGGAAGGTGTGTAAGCGAATACAATGTACCATATGGTGAGTACGTGACCAAACCACACATAACTTATAAGAATAATAAGTACTATGTTATTTAGTTACTAAAACTAAAAGCCACTTCATGTAAAAAAGAGCTTATGCTCATCCATCATCCAAACTGGCCTGCCACTGGCTCGATGGCAGATTTCCAAGTTCAGGGCTCCAATTTAGGACTCGATCACTTATGTAAATTAGCATACCGAACTCTATATCCTACCACTTATTTTCATATTTCAATAGTATTTTTATTTTACGATAATATCTATTTCTCTTGGATATATATAGTTATTAATTAAGTATATAAAATTAAAAATACGTAGTTATCTATAACATTAAACAGTAAATAATTACCTCATTCTCTATTGTAGCTTGACCATTCGCTTTGAATCTTAACGTCTCTTTTCCAGATCCATAATTTTGTTTTTTCCCTGCCCTCGCGCTGCTTGATTTTGGACCGATGCTACCAAAACCACTTTTAAGTGGTTCGACTAACCGAATTATAAAAGTAGTTCCTCTCGGAATCTCCTTCAGTGTTTTAGCAACTTCATAATGTCTCTTACCAACCATATTTTCCCCGTCTAACTTCTCAATGTGGTCACCAACCTGAATGAAAGTAAATTGCTCAATACAATAATAGTTTACTTCCTGCAAAATTCTTTGTAAATGGAATAAGTGTGCTATTAAATTTTAAACTTCATGCCTTAATGACATGGTTTAGATTGATAGTAAATTTAATTTTTCAAAATACAACAACAATTAAGGATGCATTTGGAACTTACTTCTATGTGTGGTATTCTGGAGACTATTGAGCCTTCCTTTATTCTCTTGATGAATGCATATCCAGCTCCGTTGTCTGTGATTGTTAATCCAAGAGCATCTTCTGTTTTAACAATTTCTATTTCTTTGGGGCGACCCTTTCTGTGTGCAAATATGAAGTCTTCTAATCCAATTTGCCCGCCTAGTAATTTCTTCATGTCCACTTTATGAGTGTTCAACGTGCAAAACAAAATCTGAAATGGCAAAATACATTTCTTATTAGTCATCAATCAGTATTGTAAGCATTACGTATTATCGCTGTTATTATTGTAAGTACTATGAATACGTAGTGGTAGCTCGTGTGAAATTAATACATAGCGCAGTGCCACAAATCAGATTCGCCTTGCCTTGCCTTGACGCCGCGCCGCGTCGCGTGACTGTGGTCCGTAGATTTTTATTTACAGCAATCTTATTATAGGATGATTTGTGGATATTGATTGACTAATTCGTGACCATTGGACATTTGCACTGTCTATAGATGTACCATACATATGGACAAATAGTGCTCTAGTTTTTTGCTCCACTTTTGCTTATGTGATTGACGACCTACATTAGTCATAACAATTTCACCAATTCAGCATCATTACATATTTTTTTCTTTTCCTTCTTGTTCGATGCTGATTTACTAGTCCATTCTTCAATAGAACCTTTATTCAATAGAAACCGAAATTAGTGAAGTTTATATTTTATGTGGAATTCATTATATGACGAACGAAATACGGTTTATTATTTTTGAGTGTAAAAAGTTAATGAATGCATTTGTCAGGACTGTGCTTGGGCCTTGTGACGCATAAGCGTTAAAATCAGATTTAACTAGAGATAGTTAAAATAACACTAATGCAATGACAAAGGTTGTAATGCAATGACAGAGTTTTTAACTCTCATTGTTTTATATAAAATACCCATCTGAGCCCACCTCTATTTTAACCTTGACATCAAAATGTTATATATTATGATCCTTTCGTATTTGAAAACAAGTTGAGTGATTTGGAGAAGTTTATAAATTTTTGTTGGCCTGTGGCTAGGTGTATATGCCTGTGGTACCTGCGCAAATAACTTTTTAATTGATCTGAGCTCAGGACTTAGACTTTAAGGTCAAGGAGATACAAAAAATGGTGGTCAATGCACACGCTAACATAGTACAAACAATAATTGGGAAGAACCTAAAGAAAGTGAGATTAATGGTCGACCCCAATAAGCATAGAGAGATTCTTTGTACAAAGACCCCATTTTTATACATGAAGAATGAAACAAGACAATCCACACTTTCATAGCCAGCAACGAGTACCTAACGCCTAGATTTATAAAAACTAAAGTTTTTTTTACTATAAAAAAATCCACTCGGTCCAGGTTTCAGACATTTTTCGAACCCACACCTTCCGTAATGCGGGCAGGCACACAAACCAATATGTTTTTTTTAAAGTAATTGAAGTTGGTAAATGTATTTTAATATTAATGAATAGTCAAAAGTATCCTGAATAAATAAAGTATTCATCCATTTCATAAAAGTGTATTGTTTTTGGATAAAATTCAATAAAAAATCGATAACAAGGGAGTCGTGGAGGTAAGTACCTGCTTGTAATATTTATTATTATATGCAATACAGATTTCCATACAAATAGTTATATATCCCTATAAACAATAAATAACAAAGCATATAAACCGATTTCCAGTTCCTAAAACCATATACATAAGTCATTATTACATGTAAAATATTGGTGTACCAATTTGGGAACAACGGCTACAATTATATTACTTTTCGCAGATAATCAAGAAGAACCGCAAACGATGTTATAGCGCTAGTAACCAATACCGTGGTTTAGGAGGCTCTAAATATTATACTCCAGGATAGTGACGATGGTTTGGAGTATGACTTGGCTATAATTCCACTAGAACCAAGTGTTGTTACCGACTGATGTACTCCAAATTATTCTAAGAGTTACGCAGAATCCGACGACCGTTTGGGTAATGACAATCGTATAAAAGAAGAATTGACATCTGTTAAAATATTTGAAAAGTTTTTTGACGAAAAGTGGAAGTCCACCATCAGTCAGCTGTAAACGAGACAAAACAACAGTCACAGTTTTTCCATCACTTTTGCTGAGATGGAGCTTTTCTTTGAAATATTGATATTTTCTGGTTACCACAAATTGCCGCAAAAAAGTTTGTATTAGTGACTTGATGAAGATATTGGAGTTGAGGTAGTATCCGAGGCTATGGTCTCGAAACAGATTCAGAGAATAAAAAGAAAACTGCAGCTGGTGGACAATAATGACGCTCCGAATACGGCTGATAAAATGTTCAAAGTTCAAAAGCTTTCATGCTCATTACAAAATGACATGCTTTTTTTTCTAGTAAACTTTTCTTTAGATGACATGCTTATTACAAAATTAAGCTCGCATGTTCTTTCAAGAGAAAATGACGCCATGGAACAGTTGCTATTTCGACAAAACGAAATTGTAAGGTTTACCTAAAACAAGCTACACAAAGAGTAACTGCTCGCCCTTCTTCATCAAACATCGAGGGTTTACAACTAGATGATGCCGAACATCTTCTTGAAAAACTTCCAAAACGGATGCGCTATGTTATAGGGTTGTAAAAAGTACAAGAAAACACTCTGCATAGAAAAACTTGTTTTACCAACTTTCGTTCATAAGTGGCCACTGTGCCAATTTGGGCACACGCCTGTAATTCCTGAAAAATGTCATTTAAATTATTTTTTTCTTCTTTATATGTTTGTTTATATCCCTAATATTAAGTAAATAAAGGCTTTTCTTTTTTACAATTGCTCATTTTCATTTGGCCGTTAATGGGTTTAATTAATTACACCTTTTACAAGAATTGTTATAGAATATGTTCTTGCTTTAGTACAAAGCTCAATTATCAATCAATACCATTATAAACAAAGTAGGTAATGTATTGATCAAACAATGGTATAAAGGCAATAAGGATAGAAAGGAGACTTGAGAGACTGACAAACATACGCTGATTTTTGTCGAAAAAAAAACATGAAAGAGCATGATAAGCAAATATAATATGATCGTTAACTACGGTCAACGCAGACCGCCCGCGGTATCCGCGGACAGACACCCTGTAAAATTGTATAAATAATTCAATATTGAATCCGCATTATAGTAACGTCTACGATATCCTATATTTTAATAGAATGGAATTCCACGAAAGATTTGTAGGTAGGTAAGGTACTATCATTAGCAATAAATGATCTATGCTCAGGTGTGGCAATGGCAGACGTTCGGTCCTTGACCCTTTGCAATAGGTCGACGTACATACCCGCATAGCTGTAGGGCTGTCATCTACTAATAGATTTGCCGTTATTTTAAGATTTACCATCTCTAAAATAGTAGCAAATATTTAAAGGGATCTAAATACATTAGTTGATGCAATTTGTGACGAACTAGTAAGTTAACAGAAACGACGCTGTAGGTCACAGAAAAAATAAAATATCACAGAATCATAGTAAACTAGCAGGAGCCTGTATCTAACTTCCGAATTATTAAATTATAAAAAAACTAAGCTCTTGAAAGCGTAGCGTTACAGTATTTTTTGGGAGTCGTATAATTAATAATTATAGATGATTCTATAACACTAGATTTTGCAACACACACTTATCCAAGGAGCAGTATCTCTAAGCTAAATTGTGTAAGTACTAATATCAGTTACACAAAGTAACTAATCATTAAATAAGCGGTTCGATGTAACGGCTTTTTTTCAGTAACTAGCCCTGTCTATTCCCTGTCAGTACCGCTACGTTTGTCTGCACTTCAGCCACTTGCTCCGTCAATTCATACGAGACTGCGCCCCTGAGCCGAACCACTTCCTGACTGTTCACCCGTGCGTGCTTCCGCACCTGGGTAGAGTGACATATTATACGCGTTCATATGAAACCGTGGACTGTCAACCGGTTAAATTTTACTTAGCAATAGCAATATAGACTAATATTTAGATAGATACTGGGCCTTCATCTCAATTGGGCTTATTATTATTTTTGTCCGGGTGGGATATCCGGGTCACGGCACGCGGCGCGGCGGGCGGCTCGGTGTACGATGTGTGTATTTTATTTATTTACCAGCTAGTGTTCCACGTATTAGACTACATTTTTCCTTCTATTTTCTGGCTAATAATCTTTGTCAAATCAATGATTTACTAATATAAGTAGATGGAACAGAACATTCATTTTACTACATATTTAAACATTGTTCAATTATAAGAATTTCATAAGGAGATTAAAATATCAACAGCATAAAAACAGATAAGAAGGCTCACTCAATATTAAATGTTTGGCTTTTTGAAATTATAAGTGTAATAAAAGATAACTGTTTTAAGTACGAGTCGGACTCGGAGAAAAACAGTTTATATATTTGAAGTGCAGATGTCCAATCACCATACAACATATCTCATTTCTTATTTAAGTAGGTACCTAGTCCTTATATAGATACGTATAAACAATGCCCACGTTATTTTTTATGAATACTTACATTTTCTTTAACTTGAACTTATTTTAGCATATATATATATGCTAAAATGTTATCAGAAACAGTAGATTGCGATTATAATCAAGTAAACTTACATAGCTAATTATTCTCACTGACTTATCTTTAAGATTAGTTAATTTGATTATACGACTTAACATACCTAGCTTTATACATCACTTAATAGTACGAAATTATCAGTAACAAGTACCAGTAACATTTTCCTTACGCTACCTGTAGCTGTCATTAATTTTCACAGAATGAGTATTCCTATTACTGGTATTAGTAAAAACAAATAGGTAGCTTTGTATACATAAAAAAAGCCTGAAAACGCCCAGATTGTCCCGTTCTTAATTTGTTCGCCCAAAAAGGTCAACTGTGAAAATGCCGCAGCATAAATCCCGATATTTCACAGAGTGCGAGAATGTCGAAACGAAAGCAAATAGCACCCAAGGTCGCCTTGAAAGACGGACGAACTCACCGTCACGGACCAATTTGAAATAATATCCACCAAACTATGAAGATGGATGTGGCAATATGTCAAGACTAGCCAGTTAGAAAGTAGATATATTTTGTGATTTTTCATTCATATTTTTCATCTTATTTTAAAAGCTTACTTACCCTTACTGTGAGGGAAGTACTTTCTATCCTCTTCTTCTTTATCTTTTATCTTAATAATTTTTAAAATAGAACCGACTTCAAAA